TGGTAAATGGCGGAAAGCAGGCATCTCCTTGGTAGTTACCAGGAGGTTTTTGCTCTGGTTGCAAACTTAGAGTCAATCTGAATTATTCTAGCCCTGGCAGCAAAGTACGACCTAGAACTTGATCAAATGGACGTATCCACAGCTTATCTCAATGGAGAACTTGAAGAAGAACTGTACATGCTTCCTCCAGGGGGTGTTCCTATCCAACCTGGATACTGCTGGAGATTGAAGAAATCCATCTACGGGTTAAAACAAGCTGGTCGTACATGGAACAAAACTTTTGATCGCAAGCTCCAGGAGCTCGGTTTCACAAGACTAAATGCAGAAACATGTCTCTATGTATTCCGGGACAACAAACAAATATGCTTTGTTGTTGTCTATGTAGATGACCTCCTCCTAGGAGCTTCATCCCGGAAATTCATGGATATCACAAAAGCCAAACTCAAATCCATATTCAAAATGCGGGACCTTGGAGAAGCAAAATGCATCCTCAGAATAGAAATCCAACGTGATTGTTCAAACAAAACAATATCCCTATTGCAATGCCAATACATTGACACAGTCCTGGAGCGTACTGGAATGAAGAACTGCAAACCAGTATGGACACCAATGGCCCATGGATCAAAACTCCTTGCAAATGCTCCAGGGGAAGATATTGTGCAACACGAGATGCATATTGAAGGGCGTCAAGTGTCATACCTCTCAATTGTAGGCTCCCTCATGTATGCCATGCTCGGAACCCGCCCAGACATTGCCTACGTTGTTGGAATACTAAGCAGGCATAGCTCAGCTCCAAGGAGCCATCACTGGGAAGCTGCAAAATGTGTCCTCCGATATCTGAAAGCAACCAGGGACATGGAACTACAATATGATGGCACAGATGTCTCCAGATTGAGCAATGCTGGACAACACCTTGCATGGCTTCGGACATTTTTTGAAGAAATTGGACATGCTCAAAATGGACCTACAACACTGCACTGTGACAATCAAGCAGCTATCATTCTTACACGAAATCCACAGTTCTGTGCTCGCACAAAACACATTCAACGGAAATATCATTTTATCCGAGATGACTTAGTATCAAAGGGAGAGGCAGTAATCAGATACGTTCCTACAGGAGATATGGTTGCAGACATTCTCACTGAACCCCTCACTCATGAAAAACACTGGAAATTCTCTAAAGCTATGGGACTACGGTTGCACTCGAGTGGGAGTGACAAAACCGGATAAACCCGGTCTCTGCCAAAGCAACCATTGTTCTCCATGGAGCATAGCCACCACTCCATGGAGTAACCATTGTTCACCATCCGAGGAGCAATAGGGGAAGTAAAAAAATACTTAGAGTGGCTTTGAGGCGTTGAGGTATTCGGCAGATTGGGGACTCCGAAAAGTTGAAGTCCTACACCAATTTTGACTCGCGTCTCTTCAGTGCTAATTAATACCATTTTGTATGAACAAGGCCGTATTAAAACTATCAGATTCAGTACCCCTATTTTCAAAAAAACTTGTACGCTTTATTATTTCTTTATTGTTTTTTGTCTAAAACATCTTATAGCCATCTTCTCATTCAGAAGATTTTACTGATGAAGGTAAGCTTTATGCTAGTGACATCTAACAAAATTATTAATCCATATTATTCAGATTCCATTGTATATGAACATGAAATGGAAAACTGGCCTGTACCCGAGGAATATCAAGACAACCTTATGGCCATGAAATCCCAATATTGTGTGCATCATATCAGACTGTACTCCAATGACCAATTTGTTGAACCAGAAGATGCTTATTCAATGATGAAAAATGCTCTTGTCAAAGTTCATTTTATGATAAAGCACTATTTCATCCGTAAAGATACTACCTTTGATACTTTTAGTGGACTGGTGCAACAAATTCTTATCCTTAAACAAGGAGAACCTCAAAAGGCTAATCCTTACAAACAAAAAAATATTTGTGATGGGCCTTATAGACCTTCACCATTTGTACCTGCTTCTATAAGGTATTTGCATTATTTTTTAATAATATTTAACCCTCATCATTACCAGTTCTACGCACAAACTTTCTTCACTAAAATATGACGGGTATTGTACAACTCTATCTTGCACGTACTCATTTACTTGTCCATTATAGAACCCAAAACAAAGTGACGATAAAACTACATATGTGTCTCCCTTTCAAAGGTAATCCATCAATTCAATCTTGCGTTAAAATAATTTTTTAATCATATAAACTAGTCAATCAAGCAAGCCAACAAGAATTCCCCTTGAATGTATATTGAAATCACCTAAACATGCCACCAATACTTCACTTACGTGAGTGGAATAATTTCTCCAACAGATATTGACTGATTATATGTGTACTTTAGAATACCAACTGAATTACAAACTTCTACTCCAAATTTAATGCCTCTGAATGCCAATCTCCAGCAAAAAAACTTCAAGAACACATTTTGTTGTTAAACAATAATGGAGGTCTTGAAACCACAACCATTGAAAACAAAATATGTACCATTAGTCAAACCCTTGAAATCATAAATAGTCTTGAAACAAATCAAAGCAACAAGGCAAACATTTCAGAAGTGTCTGTATTTTTCATACTGATTTTGATTTAACTTATTAATTTTCCATAATATATAGTCCAATTGAAAAAAAAAAAAAAAAGAGAAGCACAAAGAGCAATAACAATAAAAATCAAGAACTGTGAGTTATTTTCACTGACTGCTATTCTTGTTTGTACCAATATCTGCATTCAACCCCAGTAGGTCTAACAATGATAATGAATTGGAGTACACCAATACACAACTTCAAAACATGTAAATACTCTAAATATGTCCTACATATATTTCCATGACAATCTACTACAGTATTGATATTAATAGGGGAACCTTATAGTACTCTCCATTACATTTTCTCACCGTCAAGCTCCATATTATATTCTCACATTCTGGTTCACTGTCCAATGTAAATTTGTTTAGAATTGTACTCTTGGTTGAAAGACTGATTATAGCGCTCCTCTGGTCAAAAGTTGAATGCAGTGTGAGGGAGCATTCTATTGAAACATGACACTGATGGATAGTAGAATGTACTCCAGCAGATGGACCAACGCCATCACGAAAAATGGGGGTAGCTATTTAGAGCAAATATAAAGCTATACATGTTTATAGGTACTTATAAAGTTATCATAACTGTCAGATCTGTTATAGAACCTCTGGCATTTATAGAGCCACATATAGGCTTTTATAGATATTGGGGATCTTTTTTTACTTTTACAGTCAAGCTAACCAATTATAGCTGTTATAGATGCTGGGGATCTTTTTTTACTTTTACAGTCAAGCCAACTAATTATATCTTTTGCCTAGGTTTTATAGTTTTTATAGAACAAATAGCTGTAATACAAGTCTTATAGCTTTCACCTTGTACCTATAGATTGGATCAATTATTTGGACATTTATTGTCATTATAACTTCAAGGGTAATGCAATAAATGCATGATATCAAAAGTAATATCATCAAAAGAATCAAACAATCTAGACTATGAATAGACTTTACTACTAACAGAGTACTTAAACAAAAAAGAAAGTTGAGCAGGCATTTAAGCACCTGCTATTCTTGGTCCGACCATAAATAGAAGGTGTGCAAACGTCCAAGCAACATCCTTTCTAGGAAGGTGTGCAAACATCCAAGTAACCCCCACTTTAGGAAAATGTGCAATCACATATCCCCTCCGAAAGCAGGAAGTACTCAGCAAGGCAAGCACTTCCTGCTTTTGGACACACAGCTATTTTATCCCATCTTACTTACCCATGCCTGCAGGTTCCAGCTCAAGGAAGTATGGCTTCCACAGGCCTCCATCAGGGCTAGCTTGCTGCTAAGTATCAAAATTGTGTCGCTTACCCATTATTGACATTTTTCCTAGGAATCTTCCCATGGCCACGCTCAATGTAAGTACATTATTGGTTTGCACCATAGTTTTGAACTTTATAGCGCCCGTCTTCTTTGGAAGGTTTTCCCATCCGACACCACGGTACCCCACCAACCAAACCCAAAGTATGTTCTGTAAGGACCGTTTTATCATTTTCTTATCTTCTCTATGTCTTGGTTCTCGAACACTTTTCCCATTACACCTCTGGCTCTAGGGCTAGAGGTATCATTTGCCATTTTACTTCTCATAGCCCTCACAGGCTTTCTTAACCATCACTACCACTTTATATCACAGATCAGAGACTGGGTATTGCTCCCAACCAGCCAGCACACTGAGTAGGGACTGGTAGTAGGCATCTTGCCAACCAGCTCCAAGCCCCAGTAAAGCCTGGATATACTAATAAACACCTTGTTCAGGATCATACCTCATCATGAGGATACGGTTCCTGAACACGCGTAACAAACCTCTATTATTAGTACAAAACTCTCACCCGCTGATTAATCAAGTTAAAAGTCGTACAATAGTTGTCCTCTCTTTTTCTTATTGGCCGATTGGTTCCTCAGACCACTTTTCAATTATTCTCCTTTTGGTCTGAGGAACGAACAGTTCACTATATAAAGTCTTACCTATTCATGTATAGCTCCTTAGTTTGCTATTACTGAATATACCTGTTTTACTCCTCAACGAAAACCTTTGAAGCTTACCTCTTAAAGTCCTCTACTCGCTATATTTACTGGCATCTGTCGACCTCAAGCTCATTGAACCCCTTACTCCCTACAAGTGCAGAAGGAGACAGGTTTCGTTTTTGTTATAGTTTATCGTTGCCTCACATGTCCATCCAATTATTTTCTTGATTTCTCTCTCACTTATCCCTGTTCCAGTTCAACATTTTCTTATTTAAAGGATCTAAGCAATATTATCACACCTTTATGGACCCCCTTATCAAGGCAGAGGCAGGTCCCTTGAAGAGTTACTGCGCCCTTGAAGACATGCTTCACATCCTATTTCCCCTATCTGAACTCTTCCCATCTATGCTGGGTGCTCTCACTCAAAAAAACCCCTTGCTTACTGCCTTCAAATGCCTCCAACAGGAAGGGCTTTACTTGTCTGAGTCAGGAAAGTGGAGCCCTGGCTCAGAAGGAGAGGTTGCAGATTTTCTCAACTATCTGGTTCACAAAGTTGATCCCCTTGTGGATTCTGGCACCTTCAAGAGTTCCAGATGGTGGACTTCTGTGTATGCCATCCAAGCAGTCGGTGATGCTGGTGGAAGGTGCCGCCCAGACCTTGTACTCATATCCTCCAGTAACACGTCTTATCCCCCTAAGCTCCCTCTTGCAACTATGAGAAATGCCAACAGTCTTGTACGCAAACAGCTTATGGGAAGATTGTCATTTGTTGGGGCTGCACAAGATCAATGTATCTACACTTTAGGTACTCCTTACATTATTGTCTAGTCTCCTATTAATCTCATGCACTTTTAAGGTCTTTCTATATGGGGTTTCTCCTTCACTTTGCTTTACATGGATCAGGGTGGCTCAATTATTACATTTGAACTCAATTTTCACCAGCAACCAACACTTTTTCTTCACCTTCTCCTTGGATTTTCCCATGGCTCAGACAAGTGTTTGGGCTACAATACTGGGGCCAACCCCAATTATGTTTGCGTCAGTGCTTTGGGTGAGTTGAAGGTTCACTGTATTCTCTTCATTTCTGACAGCATCCATGGGCATGGATGTATAGTCTGGCAAGCACAATTACCTATATTGAGGAGATCAGACGACCCATGGACATTGCGGTCAAAAGGTGTCAATCTGATAGTGAAGGATACTTGGCATGATACTCGCTGCCGTCTTACTGAGGGTACAATTCTTCGCCTGCTTGAGGCAAAGGGAGTATAGGGAGTCCCAGGTCTCATGTGTGAAGAGAAAGGTTGTAGCTCAAAATGATGGGCCCAGCATGATCAATCAAGCCAAAGTCCAGAATATAATTCCACATCCAATATTTGTGATGCCCTTGGCTCCACATTATCCCTGAAAAACAAGGAGAAGGCCCAAGCTTTGGCTCATCCACACCACCCTTACCAGCTGCATGTTCACATTTGTTCAACGACTGCACCTGCTGGTGCAATTAAAACAGATTTTAATTGCCTAGAGGAGCTCCATGTTATGATCATTGATCTCATCAAAGCAAGTATCATACCCACCATTTATTTATCTATACTAACATTCACTAGGTCACAAGAACATGATGGCAACCTCTGTTTCAGGCCAAGTTCCTGTGAAAGTCTTACACCGGGATGGCTCAATCAGCAACTCCCTTATTGTTGATCAAGCACTGTCTGACTGGCCCCCTTTGAAAGCTCCAGAGGGACGTGCACCTCCCAATACTCACATACAGAGGGGTTTACAGACTGGGGATTTGCAGCTGTATTTGAAGATACTGAAGAGTTAGCAGAGCATTCAGACAACTCAAATGAATGCTTAGATAAGGTGTCTGAAGATTCAGACCAGGATGACCACTATTTTGGATTGAAATCTGGTGACATCCAGAAGCTACAAGAGTTGGTGAAGTCCAAGCTATCCACTGTTAACCACGAGGAAGAAGTAATCCGCTCCGACCAGAGTGTCTATTTGTCGGATTCATTTTTACGTCATAATCAACCTGAGTAGACGTTGGATGTTGCAGAGGGTACTCTTGATGAGGTTATGGTTATACAACAGTTGAGTAAGGAGGGCCGGCAGGTTGGTAATAGAAATCATGTTCTTGAGCGTACAGTAAGTGTTTATATCAGCCATCATTTAATTATTTTGTTTTATGTATTTCTTACAGGGGACAGAGCCTTTTATGGCTGTGGAAGTGCAAAATGCATAGCCTGGTGACTGGATTCGACACACTGCCCATCACAACCTGGAGTCGTTCTATTATGTATTGCTAGCTATGTGTGTCTTAATGGTAAAGCTGTATGAGATGAAAGATGCAGATGCTAAAGAAAAGGACAACATCAAGAAATGGCTAAATCCCAAGTTCACTTCAATGTTTACCCGCTCTGACACTACTTTCCACAAGTATTGGACCTGTGGCAGAGTTAATGGTCTCAGCGTGTTTCTTGAAAACAATATATCTGAATACTTTGCCTTTATAATCCCTTACTTCAAGCGCCTCTGCAAGGTTCTGTTTGGGTCCACATTGTTCCTCTCAAAGAGATTTGTAGAGGCAGGTCCACCACCATTCTTTATACTATTGCATGTCTTCCATGACAATATTCTCAATATCCTCAGGGAAGCTCTAGAGGAAATTCAATGCAATGAAACATGGAAGGATCTGAGGAGGCCTTTTAGCAGACCATCAGGGTTTGTTCATTATCTGGATCTTTGGAGGTCCAATGACAAGCAATTTGCATTCCAGGCCCCTTTGGTGTTGAGCTATGTTTCATGCACAAAGGGGACCAGTGGAAGTATGGCAAGGTATTCAAATTTGATTACTTTCTCCACATCCTCTCTTCAGGCAGTCAAGGCCTCCAATCGTCTGCAAGCTGTTACTCTCCAATCTCTCAAACACTGTTATAGTGCCTTGTCTTTGTTTCTTGCTTCTGATATTGCAGATCCTAAGTGCCCTTGTACTAAATAGTCATGTATTTGTAATGTGACCATGTTTGACGTCTGTAAAATTAGGTTCTCTGTAGCATTTGTTGTTCCTCATTCTCCAACCTAACAAAATGTTTGTCAACCATAATGCCCCCCACCCATGCCCAGCATCATGTGGCAGATCTTTTTCTAGCACCTGTGCCCTCAATATGCATCTTGGCTGTGCAAAAAGCTGTGCTTGGTATTGCAAGGGTAAATTGAGAGAGATCCTAACCCATCAGAATGGCTACTTGGAGAGGCAAGGATTGCTGGTGGAAGAAAATTTAGATAACCACTATGGCCCTCTATATCCATTCCAGGAGGAATCTATCGGATATGCCATGGAAGATATTCAAAAAAATATATTTGCATTCATCCCACTCAGGCAACCTGAACAGAAGGATCTGGAGCCAGGGGAGGCAGCCGGCTCTTCTAATTATCCAAATGCCATTTCCCTGAATGATAATAATGATAAGCGTGTAGAAATTCTCCACTCTACAGCAGGTCAGATAATATATATGGACCATACCTTGCATTAGACATGGAGAAAAAAGTTTAAAGGGACAAGAGAAGCGGTAGATGAGTATGGGGATGTGGTATAGAATATAATTTCCCGGTTGCCTCTGGACCACAGGATACTAGGTTTTTTCCATTTGCATCAGAAACAGACTGGTGAGTCACCTGTTGGGAAATCCAGGATGGAATAGGTCACAGATCATTTGACTATTTGTTAGCTATTCCAGGGGTATGTTTTTATTATATTCACTTGCTGGTCTTCCTTAAAGCAGCCATTGTTTCAGTCAAAAAGAGACTGGGTTTGCCTTATCATAACATTAGAGGGCTACACAAGATTGAGATTATTGACTCACGTATTCCATCCAGAGCTGAATGAACGTCAAAAACCATTGCATTCCCAAATGCCCCTGATAACAAGCATCTAATTCATTACTGTGATGTCTTTTCTGTCATTCATAGCTTCCTTTGCAACCCAGCCCATGCAAAACACATCATCTGCAAGCCTAAAAAGATATTCAGTAATGCACAGAAAGAAAATAGAATTTACAATGAAATATGGACTGGAAAGTGGTGGCATGCAATCCAAGTCAGTATTACACTTGATATTAATTTTATATGAATGTTAACTCTTATGTGTGCAGGCAGATCTACCTAAGGGAGCAGCCCTTCTACCAGTCATGATTTCTACAGACAAAACACAATTGACGCAGTTCTCAGATTCTAAATGTGTCTATCCTGTGTATCTAACATTGGGAAACATTAATCATAGGCATGCAACTCACTGCGAGAGAAAAGTCATCCAGAGTGCAAAGACTATTTTGTGAGTCAATGAAGATTATTTTGGACCCATTAAAAAAAGCTGGGAGGGATGGAATACAGGTGGTAGGAGGAGATGGAGCAGTGAGAAGAGTATACCCTGTGCTAGCCTGCTATGTGGCTGATTATCCAGAGCAGTATCTGGTGACATGCTCAAAATATGATACCTGCCCCAAATGCAAGTGACCTCCAAAAGAGCTTTCAGCCTCTACTGCAGGAGAGCCACATACTGATCAATGGACAGAGTCAGTAATTAACAAGGCTAAGGAAGATACACATTTATTTCATCAGTTTCAAGGGAGGTGCAAGGAGCAATTAGTATCTGGATCTGTCTATAAGCCTTTTTGGACTGGGTTTCCTCACTGTAACATCCATATTGCAATCACTCCTGATATTCTACACCAGTTATACCAGGGCGTTTTCAAGCACATGGTGGTTTGTTACTCTAGCGCACAACTCAGACAAGCTATAGAGAGAATAATGAGGGAGTGGTTACCCTTTAGGCTTCAACAAGTTAGTTGTGAGAATACAACAGGAGGACTTGCTGAGGAGTCTCCTTGATCTATTGGTCTATATATACTACTACAGGTTTGTTTGTACATATGTACTGTACAGTTGATAGAGGCAGTGGCTGATGATGTCATGGGGTCTAGCCTGTGTGACCAGCTCCACTGCATGAGAGACTTGTAGCTAAAATAAGAAGAGAGGCAGTGCAGCACGAGAAAGAGGAGTTTGAACAAAAGGGAAAGTGCCACATGGCAAAATGTGAGAAAACTACAGTAAAAGGTTAAAGAGGAGAATGAAAATTAAAGGTCCGAAAATGTTTTATCGTAACAACCACCAACTACAGAGATGTTTTGAAAGATTTCATATAGACTTTGCTAAAGATGGATGGAGGGCCTCCAATAAGAGGAATGAAGCTCCTCAAATGATCACCTGGCTGCTGCATAGGGAAAAAATATTTGCTTTTGAGAGTTATCTTAAAATGAGCATGGAAAAAGACGATGAAGATGTTTTCCTTTGTGCCAAGTATCAGGATTGTCATATCATTATTGCAAAGAATCCAAGCAAATCCCAGAAGCACTCCTGCCCAGGCTTTGAGGACGTACTCAAAATCTATTTTAATTCAAAATTACAGCAGCCCCATTCCAGAGCACAAACAAGATCTTATCCTTTTCCATTTCAAAACCTTGATGTTTTCCACTCGTTCAAATTCTCCCTTGAGACTCTTGAAAACAATGTGGACTTGTTTGGTGACCAAATAGATGCTGTAAAGGCAAAACCCTCAAGTGTTGGTGGACAGCCTCCTAGGTTTGATACTATTATAGTAATGAACTCCAATAACTGTGAATCAACAGGTTTAATAGGTAAGTTGTATAATATAAGAGCCAGTTCGGACAGGAAGACACCCAGGGTTTTTGATTAGCCAAAAATGGCTGTCTCAAGCTTTTTGCTGACAAATTAAGTCGGAGCTTCAATGGTTCTACTCCCATCGTGATTCCAAATATGGTAAGTAGTGCAATCATGGATCCCGAACTTGAAGATGAAGATCAGCCTTAGCTTCAGCCTGAGCAGCGACCTGAGAGTATAAAACGCCTCTCTGCTGTGCTTAAGGCCATCATTGAAAACAGAAAGAATGAATCATATGTCTAACCTAGCTTTTAGCACCGCAACTGCAGCATCAATTTATCACGCCAAATCAATGTATAACAAGCAACCCTACCACATGTCTAGTCTTACTGGTGAAGTGTGGGTCCAGGAATTAATTGATGGACACCCCGACCATATCCGTAGTGAGCTGAGGGTTAGCCTCCAAGTATTTGAGAAGCTTGCTGAGACATTGAGAGATACCGGTATCCAAGGCTCAAAATATATCAGCTTAAACAAAAAGCTCGCCATTTTCCTCTATGCCAGTGTTACTGGCCTTTCCACTCAACATTTGGGTGAACGGTTCCAAAGGTCAAACAATACAATTTCAAAGTAAGTATGTATTTTTCTTGTTCTATAGTTTACTAATGAAATTATAGATATTTTAAACAAATGCTCATTGCGTTCTTATTGTGGCCAATCTACACTACATTCGTTCAACTACCCCATGTGACTACCCCTGTCCCTCCTGAGATCAAAGACAATTGGAAGTTATATCCATATTTCAAGGATGCACTTGGTGCAATTAACGGCACGCACATTGCATGTACGCCAGCAAGTGAGGACCGGTATCTTTCCGTCAACCACAAAGGAGGGGTCTTGCAAAACTGCCTTGCATGTTGCTCGTTCGACTTACACTTCTTCTACATGCTGGCAGGTTGGGAGGGGTCAACAGGGGATGTGCTTCTGTTTGATGAAGCACATCGACAGGATCTTCGCATCCCTTTGGGGAAGTATTATTTAGCTGATGCTGGATTTGGTTCGTGCAAGGAACTTCTGGTCCCTTATCGTGGAGAGCAATATCACCTTGCTGAGTGGGGCCGTGCTCAAACAAGGTATGATGGCCGTTTTGTAATTATAACATAATAATTATTTTATATCTAGGCCTGTGAATGAGAGAGAACTATTCAACTTACGCCATGCACAAGCTCAATGTTGAGAGAATTTTTGGCGTCCTCAAGCGATGTTTCAAGCTTCTCTCATCATCCCCTGAATACAGCAAGGAGATCCAAGCCCGCATTCCTCCAGCTCTTTCCATGATCCACAACTTCATTTGGATCTACGATCCTGATGAGCTTCAAGACCTCACTCCAAACAACCTCGAGTACGAACTAAATAACGGTAGCTATGGCACACTAGCCACCGGTTCTATCAGCAATAGGGATAAACTACTGGGAAATCAGCTCCATGCAAGAATTGCGAGGGATATGTGGGTTGATTATATCTGTGAGTTGCAAGAAAGGGGTGATCCGTATGTTTTGCAGTTGAATACTTTGGCCGAGAACCATCTTACCGCACACTAAGCTGTTTTTTATGTTGTGAATGAATAAATACAAGCATTGTTTGGTTTCATTCATGGCATAATAACATATATCAAGCTAAAGTTACATTTTACATAGCTAATTCTTCAAGACGTGTCTCAACCCAAATCTTACAACTATCATCCTGCAAGTCAAGGAAGTCATCAATGAGGTTGGGATTCAAACAGAACATGTCCATCAATGTTACCACCTGTTTCTTGATCAAGTAGGTCTCCTTTTGCAAGAGATGGTTAGGGATGCTCTTTAATGGGAGGGGAGGGGGCTGCATAATGGCTGTAGATGATGCAGATGGTACAAGGGGAGTGGTATTTTGCGAGGCAGGTTGAGATCTGGCACTGAGGTTGTCGACCGATGCGGCAAGGTGGTCATTGATAACATTGGCTGAGCTCATGTTATCATTCAATCTTGACATCTCCTCTCTCATCCCATCGAAGATCGAGAGGCCTGACAAACGGGCACTCTTTGAAGAGCAAGACAAAGTGATTGATGGGGTCCCTGTTGTACCATCAACAGCAGACAACTTGCACTTGGTAGGTGACATGGATGGCAACACGGATGGGCGTGCAACTGAAGACGGTACAGATTTTATGGATGGGGGCGCAGCTGAAGAAGTTGTCGCAATAAAATTGACCACAGCACTGGTTTTAGACGGAGATGTTTGGTCACGGGCTAAGGTACGATCACTAGTACCTTTATGCATCTCAATATTGTCTACATCATCATCAGGCCCATCTAATTCATCCCCTCCCCCTTCTCCCCCTTCTTCCCCTTCTGTGATGTCCATATTACCAGTAACCTCCCCTCCAGCATAGAATGCATGTGTACCTTTGCCTTTACTAGGCATAATATCCTGCATGCCCTCGTAGAAGGCCCACCCATTTTCCGCATAGTGTTGATAGTTCTTTTTAGGGTTTTTCTAGTCCTCGGTAAGTTCACGTTATCTGGTTGCATGGTTGGGCACTTACTTCAATCAAGGCATCCCAGATAGCCTTGTTGGTCTCGTTAATGTGGTTCTTGTTTTGAGGAGCAAACCCAACACCAGATAAAGTTGTCAGGGTCCACACATGATTGAATTTGGTCTTGAGTTGTTCATACGCTGAGCAAGTTGAATCCCCCTGTATAAATTGTGTACATACATTCTTCCATTTACGTCCAATGCTTGCAGCATTCTTCGGTGCACCTGCCTTTGTTGTTAATGCAAGTTGTGGTATGAGGTTGGTCCAGGAAGCAGGCTTGAACTGGTGCCCTTTCCCCCCTGCCTCCTTGCCCTCCTTCTTGACATATTCAATGAGGGCGAGCATATCTTGATCCGATCAAACTGCACAATCATTGCCTTTCTCCTGTTCAGCACCTGTAACCATTTTTTGAGGTGATTTTTGAGGGTGTGGTTGCTTGTGTCTAGCTTTCAATAAACGAGAAATATGTCAACTCATTTCTACAGACTATGTACAGATGTTGATAACAATCACTTTTGTGGTTGTAGGGTATGCCTCATTGCACAATGGCCCTTTATCCCCTCCGCAACCCTCCGCATGCAAGCCACCATTGTAGGCATTAATAAACATTGGATTGGCATATCGGCAAGCTTGAGACCAGCGTCTTTGGCTAATCAAAAACCCTGGGTGTCTTCCTGTTTGAACTGGCTCTAAAACTCTATCTACTATCTGTTTAAAAGTTGTACCAGGCACAAGAATTGGACGTCTCAGAGTGATCTTCAAGTTACCTACAACTTTATATGGCACACATAGTGCCCCTTCTAACTGGCCCAAAGATCATTTGGCTTATGTTGAATGGTTTATTTGTCTAAGGCCAACAGCTGAAGACAACCATATAATGTACTTTGTCACCAAACCTGGGTCTAATGCTTCTGGCTACCTGCCTGGTGATGTTATACCCCTTTCTGCAATTAGACAGGTTTGTCATTTGATTCCAGTCTTTGGGGGAAATAAAGATCCTTGTCCACTTAATTGGACTCACAGTAATGTTTTGGATGTTTGTACAAAATTTTATCTCAACAATTTTAGTAGTAAATACACTTATCAGACATTATGGTAAATTCAGACTATGAATATTATTGTTTTGTTTTTAGCTAAATCTTGTGCTATAAAGGCTATAATTGCATTTATAGGGCTATGGTTGGTTGCTATAAAAGTATCCATATATACATGTGGTGGCTATATATCGCTACATAGCAAAAGAGTTTTTCCTGATGGCTGGATGAAACATTAAATACAACAAATCCTCTCTTCTGATATTTATTGAGACATTTTGAAATATGTTCTGGATGAGGACCAGTAGAAGATATCATTGCTGGATTTAATAAACTCTTGTAGCGGGAGGTGAGGGTAGGATATGCTGAAAAGAATGCATCAGCGGATACATAATTCATGACAGCAGTCAAATAGAAATGAAGGATAGACTTCACTGCACTTGAAGAAGTAGTAGTCAGTACATTCTAGCAAGATATAGCTAATGATTAACTCAGCTGCACCAAATAGTGTGAAGATATTGATATATTTAGGCTTCCATGCTGTTTCAATTGCAGGTATAAATATCCATAGTGCACTTGATCCAGTGATGACACTACACCCTGGATGTATAATAGCCTGCAATTTTGTTGTGTCTTCAACATATTTCTTCAGTAATATATCCCTTCATCTGCTTCCGTAGTCCATAGGCATTAAATGATTGTACCGGCTGGTACCTCCATAAAAATTAATGACATGCAAAGTGAAAAGGCAAAAATATAGTCTGATATATCAAAAGACTGAGAAATAATAGGTCCGGACATAGTGTTGAAATTGTAGTATGTGCTTATTCGCTATTTAATATATCCTATTACATTTCAAACTATCCTAAAAATTTCAAATTCTGACTAGCCTGTGTGACATCATCACCTACTACTCCCAAATTGCATAAACAGTTTTTTTACTATCCTTGAAAGTATCTCCGAAGATAATACCACTATATTACATCAATATTCTGCAATACAAATTAAATCAAAAGTTTTACCTTATAATAGCACTGGTAATGACACCAGCATAAGCATACTCATATCCAATATCAAGAATTGTTAGTGTCTTTTCACCAGTGTGAATAATCGCCAATACATCCCCCTTCATCCGTCGACTTTCTGGTACCTCTGGCATATATCCAGCAAGTACTCTGTTAAATGGCAATTGACAATTATCGAGGGTGAATATCAATATGCTATGATGGAATTTGTACTTGTCCAGCCGTGGCATAGATGTGAATGTGGTTTCCCTAATCAATGGCACACCGTCAGCACCACCATTCATCCACAAATCAACTAGTAAGTTGCAAATGCTTGACATACCATGTATTGGAACATCTACCAACATTGGTTCAATGCATCCTGTACCAAACAAAAGGGCTTGATAATGGACAGAATCTCTCTATATTGAACTTTAGATTAATTTGACTAAGAATACTATTTGTATATCTCACCTGCCCACTGTTGTATATTTTCAGAGTAATACTATGCACAACTTTCCTCCACTATTCAGTAAAAATCCTTATAAACATCAATCTGCAAACTTACCCCTAAAAACACTTGTGATATCTACCACAACAAGCAGGCACAAAATCCATCAAGCTTTAAACAGCAAGTAACCCCCTCAGTCACCAAGAAATATCCACTCACTTTATTTAACTAGATATGCTTGGTGCCCCTCACATTTTCGTCACTATAAATCTAGTTAGCATTTTTGACCCTATTTCAACAAGTAAGTGTTTCTTTAACCTCAAAGCAAATTCATACCAACTCAGCCTGCAGCTAGCAACGAGCCTGATACACTGTTCAGATCTCTAAAAACCAAGAAGGACCAAGTCATGTATGCAACCAAATACACCATCAGGAAAAACCCTTTTGCTATATAGCGCTATATAGCCACCACCTATATATATAAATGCATTCATAGAAACTATAGTACTATCAGTGCAATCATAGCTCTTATAGCTCTTATAACATAGTAGTAGGCAAAATTTTAACCAAGGGGAGAAGTATCTATAATTCCCTCAAACTCTGGATTAATCTAATAAACTTGTTCAATAACAGAAAGAGACCAGAAGTGTTTGGAGTCAAGTATATTATTATAGGCAAGGTACTATAAGGGCTATTATAGCCTATAGCAGCCTGCATAGCTCCTATAGCTGTGAAGGTCATAGTTATAATATAGTTCAAGGTGCTTAAAAGGGCCAATAAATCATACAGTATTAATTAATTATGTAGCTTGTATTAGTGAAATAGTAGTTTGTATCCCTGATACTCACAAAATAAGAATAATGATTTATCCAAATATAAGTAGTGACAATGAGTAAAAAAATAATCTAAGTCCATAAAAGGTCAATATATAACACCTGTATAATACATTTTATAAGCCCTCATGGTGTAGTGGATAAATGTGATGTGTGGCTATAGGTTGCTTAGTCACCCAAGAGCTGATTAGCAGGTTGAGAGTTTAAATCCTGTTTGTGTTAATTTTTTTTAATCAGCCACACAACAATTTCCAACATCTATAAGAGCATTTATAGAGCTATATAAGGCTCTATAGATGGCAGAGGTTCTATAGCAGGTTTGTCCACTATAACAGCTTTATGAGTACTCATAGTGCTATAGAGCTCTATATAGCTATCCCCATTTTTCCTGATGACTCTAAAACAGTAGGAGCACAATAAATAATAATTCAAATCAAGGAATTTACAAGTGAGCAGTGCTAAAAGGATGCTCTAGGGCAACAGAACATACAGTTCTCATATCACACAATGAATCAGTGGTTCTAATTCATAGTCTGCTGAGATCAAGCAACAATTCAGTCAGCACTTTGCAACAGCCCCTAGTCTATAACAAAGGGGACAATGGTCCCAAAATGCCACATTGTGTCAGTTATTTTGCTTAGTTTCACTCACGTAGTTTTTATGGCAACACAGGAGCAGCAGTACAGTAGTAGTGAATGCAGCCACACTGAAGAATTCTCACACTTATAAGGACATTCAACAATTTGTAGTGAAAATTGTAGCCATATTGAAAATTCTCGTGCTTAATCATTTTTACTACAAAACACGATATAGTGGACACCAAAACTCATGCCTGTGGCATGATGTGACACAATTCAACCAAACAAACCTCTTTTCCTACTATGTGGAGAAGTGGTCTGGCCCTACACACAAAACAAATTGGTGTCAATAATTTGCACATTTTGCATTACAAAAATTAACAGCCATTATCGACCACACAGTGGTGTGCATCAAAGTAAATTCAAAGACCCTTCCCCACACATAAAAACACAGCTTACACAATGTGAGTCTATACAGTTTATGGTGTTGATTCAATTAAAACTGACACATTGAGTACAGAAGCCCAAATTATCAATAAATCAGTGCATATAGCAAATACATAAATATGAATATGAGCAATTCAAATATGCAGTATGTGTAGCATTGTTAATGTGTCATTAACCATTAACTGATATATTGATGTGATTTATAGACATATTCCACAGACTCCTGAACAAGAATGTGGTGAACATTGCAATAGAGATTGTATACAATGTCATCAACAGATGATATCACCAAGTGTGTGACAATAGCACCTCTTGAATTATAGAGATTTGAGAAATATCAATATTGTGCAACCAGATTTTGGAGGACCTTTGCATGATAATCACATGCCTCAGCCATTAACTGGACCTGCATACCCTCCCCCTTTTCAAATGTGGCAGGGTAACCAGTTGCTTGCTACCCATGGTGTTGACTACAATGAAAGTCTATTAGATGGGTTTCAAAACCAACATGCAGAACGGGTTAATCAATAGTGTAATAGACTACAAAGGCAGGAACAGGCTGAGGATCAAATGATTCAATGCCAGCAAGCAATACAGCTCCAAGGCAGGAACAGTAGTTGGCTGAGGACCATATGCACCAGGAAAAAGAAATTGAACGTCAGGATGCAATTAGGCTACATGTACAGCAGCATTCTCAGCATGCTGATCTGCATTATGAAGAGCTACAAGGTCAGCAGCTCATTAGGATCCAAAGAACTGGTCAAGAAGAGCTTGAAAAAAGGGAAGACGAGCTAGCCAATCAGGCTCACAGGGCTGCCAACCACCACCAAGCACAGGTGATACACCACGAGGCCTGACAACCATATGTAGAGTCTCTATACTGCCATACTTTACGCAACATGGATGTAGAGTGCCATAATTGTGGAGTGCTACACTGGAATACCAAGAGACCCACAAGTTCTTCCAGGATCCATCCAAAATTCAGTGTGTGCTGCCTTCAAGGTCAATTTAGGCTGGATTCTTTCCAGGAAGCACCTGCTGCACTACACTGTCTGTTTTATGGGGTTGACATTACTGCACATGAATTCTGTGACCAAGTTTGCTCATACAATAATGCCTTTACATTTACATCTTTGGGTGTTAAGAATAGACCATGCTGTCACAAGTGCTGCAGGACCTTAATAGTTTCTGTATCCATGGAGGCCTT